GCCTTTAAGTATTTGACTAACTACTACTAAAGGAATCATAAATATTACTACGAGGAAAGGAATATTATTTTTTTTACTTTTGAATGTTGCGTAGCAGTAATATTAAAACTAAATTTAAGGAAATTCTTTCTGTTTCATCTTCATAACTGCACTTAAAACTTATCAATAATCAAACAAGTATTTTTAAATATAATTTTTCTTCCATCCTAAAATGCTTGTAACGCTTTGATTTTTGAGAATTAATTTGATTAATTTTTAAAGTTAAATTAGAGTAGATTAATTAATATATTAAAATTTAAATATTAATTCGATTAAAAAGATATATATTAAAATATGGATCATAATTTATATAACTTGACTATCGAAAAATATAATAAATATTTTGGGACAAAGGGAGTAGTTTGTTTGGTTTAGGAGTATGGTTGTTGTCCTTTTGTTTTTGCACAATTCACGCATGGAATACCGAATTCATGATAGGAATTGCATCACAATCTTCTTTCAAATGAAACAAAATCTTGGATTCTAGTTAACAACTCAACTATTGTTTAGTTGTACTAGCAAATTGCATCGCTTATGATGAAAAGAAAGTAAAACAGAAAAAGAATTTGTCAAATTAAGAACTTCATTAATTACACAAATAATGTCATGTTATAAAAAAAAATATTGTCACAACGAACTTACTTGTGACATAAATATGCAATACTTTTATCTTGTAAGTGCGTGAATTTAAACTCAAAGATAAGAATTTATGTTATATATAATAGATGACGATATGGATATATGTTTCACCGTCATCGTTGTTGAGAGTTAGTTCCTATTTATTAGATTATCAATTAATATTAAAATTCGCTAGCTTATAAGTACTTTTAGTTTGATCAAGGTTTTTATTAATTTATCCTTAATAATATTTTTTAATTCACAATTTATTTTTTCATAATAAATTTCCTAACTTCTTTCCATTCCATATTCATTGTTCATCTTTTTCTTCACAGATAAACTTTTAATTTATAATCCCTTATAAAGTTTTTAAGGATATTTTAGTCATTTTAATAAAGAATAACTTATCAGCACTTTTCTACCAAATACATCAACGGCTTATTATCAATTTCAACTAGGGATGTCAATGGCTATTTAAAAACCGATTAAACCAACCGAACCGTACTGTACTGAACTGATCTTTAGGTTTCTTAATCTTAGGTTTTAATATAAATATATAATTGTACCGATAATTAGGGTAGGTTTTTAATTTTATAAAATAAACCGAAAAAATACCAAACTGTACCGAATAAATTTAAATATGAAAAATATATTTATATTTTGATTTTAAAAATAAAAAAACATTAAATTTCTCCTTTGGCCTTGAAATTAGGAAAACAGTTATAAGCCAACAAGTAATTAAAACTCAAATTCCTAATTCCTAAACCTATTATGCTACTCCTACTAAATTATTTTTAGTATATTCACTAGCAAGATACAAGGTATTCTAACGATGAATAACAAACTACAATGTACTGAACATGTTTTCTTTCATATCATTTAGATTTTTTTTTTTGAATATTTAATATTCCATTGACTTTATTCTTGAGTCCCGGCTTGGTTAATATCTTTTCATTCGTGTAATTTTCGGCTAGCTGCCGGCATATCTTTTATGTCACCATAGTCCGCAGCGTCATTCACTGCATCGCTATATTTTTTTGTCTTTGCTTTGTTTCTTTTACGCTGTTGTAGAGTAGTTGATAGATCTAACTCTAGACATCTTTCATGTTTTCTTAATTCATCAACCTTTGAACAGTAAAAATATCTAGATGGAGTTTTGTTAAGTCGTATAAAAGTATGTTTGTTATTACATTCTACTTCTACTGGTGATTTTTATATGACTTTTTTTAAAAAAAATTATCGAAAATCAACCAAACAGTACCGAGGTCTAAGTGAAACCAGCATGACTTGACAGGAACGGTTTCGAAAAGTCTAATTTTGGTTATACATAATACAATAACCGAGAAATTAGTGCGATACAAAATTTTATAAGATAACCGGCCGAACCAAACCATTGACATCTCTAATTTCAACACTTAAAAATACTTTTTAAAATTTTAAGTTTATCATCCGCTAATCCAAATGGGATCTTAATTACTTTTTGGATAATCAGATTAAATAAATATTATAGCGTCATTAGTGCTTATAATTAAATTGAAAGAAAGTTAAAACTCATAAGGAAGAGATGAATCAATAAAAGGCAACATTGACTGCAAAAATAGAGAGGTGCGAGTACCAAAACCGATCTTCACGGCTCTGACATGAACTGATAACCATCCCCCACTAACGTACGCCATCATTATCTGTCTCTTAGTCCCCTCTATTTCTCTGCTCATATCCATAACTCTATTCTTTCTCCACTAGGCGTGTTTATACAGTGTACGATTCCTACTTATCATGCACCCCTCGGCTTCTGTTTCTGTACCTTTGGCGTAAAGCGCTTGCCCTCTCATTTTTTGGACTGGTCCTTGTTTCCATACACCACGACAATTGCTTTGCTATTATGCGCTTTCCTGTTCTATTCACACGTGGTGGGGGCTCCTCTTTTCCTTTGACCCTTCATTTTTATTTTATCATTTTCCCTTTAGTTTTCAACCCCCGAAAAAACACCACAAAATATAATTAAGAGTACGTGTGAGATCCATCGTTATCAGTAAGCTCCTATCTTATTTTTGCATTTGTTTATGTTTTTTCTTGTTTGGTACATTTCTGAATGTGACGTGTCAGAATCTTGGCCGGCACTTTGGGTCATGATTCTGATTACAACGTTACATATATTTATAGGCCTGACACACATTACACAAGGAAAGAAAAGCAAAGAAGCAACAGTATTTCTTACTTTTTCATTATAATCTAAAATTTAATGTTTTCGAACAATATACCTACTTCTGGTTAAGCTTGGATTCGAGCCAACTTGAACTCGGTTCACTAGCTCTTTTATTTTCATTCAACTCGATTCGACTTGGCTGGATCAGTACTACTTAATTTGATTCGATTTTGGTCAAATCGATTTTGGCTCGATAGTAGTGTGAAAATTATAACAGAGGATTAAAAACAGTCTATATAATATAAAGATTATGAAAATTTGATGATAAAGGAGATATATGGTCATTTTTGTTTCAAAATGAAAATAAATGAATGCAGAAAAACCCATCTCAAATGCAGAAACAATAAATAAAGAAGGACAAGAAATGTGAAATGTGCCAAATTTTCCACTGACACTTTTGTCTTTATAACACCTATAAAATTGTGCCTCATAATGGAAGATTCCAAGAAGAGAACCAACCCCAAAAAAAATCATCAATACGCAAGGTTGTCCTGATGGCTAATGAATCTGACCCAGGACCATGACCACTGACCACTACTTGTACTGTCCCAAATCAATGCATAATAGACCACTGAATCATGTCATTTTATTATATTTAAGTAAAATAATGTTAAATAATAATGCATGTTAATTAACTATAGTTAAAGGATAGATTCTTGTGCACATGTATATATGTAGATGTTCATGTGTATTCGTTTAATTTTTCCAAGGGATTTGAGGCTATAGGTGAGGTAAAATATTAATGAAATGAATCATGTAAAAATCAAACGTTGCACCAATAATAAGATATAAAGTGTCATTGTACTGTTCAGTTTTTCAACTTAATGTATATTTAATTGATTAACTTAGAGATAATAATTTAGGACATCCTAGGCGTACCTGATGCCAACCCTAGAGGTTAATAGTACATTCAGCTTTGCAAGATAGGTAAGTAGCCCACAAAAATTAATACTAATATTAAGGTGAAAAAAAAGCATTTCTTAAATGATGACAATAACTTAAAAGGAAAAATAACACCGTATAGCCACTATAAAAATAATAGCCGAAAAAATTATAAAATCTGTATATTTTTTGTATATATAAACATGATGTATCTTATATACAAAAATGATACAAATTTTATACACTTTCGTATGTAAAAAGTGATAATACCCCATAACTTAAAAGGATGGCTAAGGTGAAACCTAATTTAATTGATTGGGGAAAAGATAGAACATGATTTTCAAAAAAGAAATTGATTTTAAAAACCTGTTGTTTTCACCATCACTACATATGCCTGCAAAGTTAGGGGGATTAGCTTGTTTTTGGGTCCACTTTGTTTTTTTTCTTTAATAGCTTTTGCTATAATAGTAGAAGAAACTACCCTACCAATACTAAAACCAATACAATCCTACTTTTTTCAGCATTCTTGACATCTCACCTAAGCAAACAAACAGTACCACTAGTACTCTAGCATTTATGCCAGAAAAATCCCAAATCAACCCCACACTACCAACAGAAAATGTCTCTTTATGTCACCACAAATTAAATGTTGAAACAGTCATAATTGTCAATATGCCCATAGGGGCAGTGCAGAGTACCTAATCCAAGAGAGAGGACCACATTTTTCTGCCAAAGAGGTGCTGTGACTGTGAGCAATCACAAAAGTAGGATTCTTTGCAAAAGTTGGCATGCACCCAACCTTTATCTGGACATTGATAAAAACTAAGTACCCAATATCTATCAAAGTCACAACTAAAGCAAAAGTAACTTTATGTTTAACCCAACATTCATCACCATTTACCCTCCAGTCCTTCTACTTTTACTATCCATCTATTAAGCTAAGGTAAAAAAAATTGGTAGTAAAAATAAATGACTTCTTTCCAATCCCCTTTAAGCACTTTGTATGTAAACGAATTTGTGGAAACAATTTTCAATCTGTATGAACAAAAATATTCTGGCTTGGCATAGATTGTTGTACCATAAATGGAAACCTGTTCTCTGTATTCCACCATCGATGGATTCAAGATATACAAAGACAAAAATATTGCTTGAGAAACTGGCTGTAATAGTTGTACCACATGATAAATCAATTGAACTGTGACATCCCATAATCTCAATTGCTCAAACTCGCGATGAAATAATAAGAACAAGCAGAGATAAAAAAATGAACAATTTGCATTTTACAATTTCTGAGGGAATTTACAAACTAAAATTCTAGCATTTTCTTTAACTACAACGAAATTCTATTGTTTCTATTGCTTTTCCTCTTCCTAGTTTCTCTCTTTTGGAAATTCTTTCCTATTTTGGCTTTTTTTTGATTGATCAGGAAGACATGTTAACATGCACTGTGGCATTCATGTTAGAATTACATACAGGGCATGTATGGAGTAAAGTGGACCCACACACTGCACAAAGGCACAGGTGCCTGCATGGTAACAGCAACACACTCGATTCCCTCTCCCCACACCTCTTGCACATCCTGTTATCCTGCGCTTCACCCGCTAACGTACGCCTGCCTTCAATTTCTTCCTCTTCTTCCGCTGCTGCGCCGTGGTCACTGCTACCGCAGCAAGATTCCGCGTCTTCCTCCACCGCCGCTCCGATAACGTTTCCTCCGGCGGAGAGACGTTCATCGCCCACGTGAGCCAACACTTGTTCCAAGTTGTTACGAAGGGAATTGGCCGTTGCTTCGTTTGTTTGTGCCAAATCCCTCCATAACTGATTTTCAACGTACAGACTTCTGACTTTTTCTTGTAAAACGAAATTTATTTTTCCCATTCTTTGAATCTGTTCATCTTTTTCTTTTAGTTTCTTTGTCACACCTTCTCCAATGGCAGCCACTAAAACTCTCGCTTGCTGCTTCTGTCTTTCTTCTAATTCCAACCGTATTTTCTTAGTCTGTAAATCACCAACAAAAAAAATTTATTAGCCAAAAAATTCAAGTAAAACAAACTCAGAACAAAAAAAACAGAAAAAGGCAATAGAATTGAAATTTTTCAGTACACTTACATGGTGAGAAATAATACGGTCGATATCCATCTGGTACTGTTGAAGCAGTGGTAAAACGTCATCTCCAACAAACGACGTAGTAGTATTATTACAAGTATTAAACTGATTAAACGAATCCCTTGAACGCTTTCTCGTAGCAGCAGCGTTAACGGCGTTGGCGTTTGCAGTGGGGGGAAGGTTAAAAGTGAGGCCACTGTCGGTGTTAACGGACGTTTTGGGCTGAACAGAATCGCACATCAGACTGTGATGAAACGGCAAGAAACTACTATTCTCTTGCGTAGGCAAAGGCAAAGCAGAAGCCATCTGGGTATTGTACGAAAACCCATTTACTTGATTCGAAAAAATTTGTTGCTGTTGTGAAGGAAAAAGATTGATATGCTTAGCTTCAACTGCCATGGAAAAAACTTAAGCGTCTGTTAAATTTTGTGATTCTTGTTTCGGTAGTGAATGCTTTTGATGTTTTTGGTTTTGATCAAAGAAAGAGAGAAGAGGGAGAAAGCATATGAAGATTTGGAGTTGGAGGTGGCGACTAGAGAAATGAATGGGGCTTTTGCCTTTATTTATGCGTTCAGTTTTGTGGATAGAGAGAGAAATGGGGTAGGGAAAGTCAATAAAGAATTTTAGAGAGAGAAAAAGTCTTCGACCCAATTAAAAAGGCTTTGAAATTAGTAAAAGTATGGGATGGACGAGATTTTACATATTTATCATCTCTTACTAAATTAGATATTCATTACTCCTTCCGTCCCATATTAATAGTCATAGTTACTAAAAATAGTTATCTCAAATTATTTGTTACCTTAAAAGTTCAAAACAAAGTTAATTATCTTTTTCCTCTTTTACCCTTAGTAATAAATATCTTTGAAGACTACAAACACCTAATTTTATTCAAATATCAATAAAGAAAGATTCAATATTACTCCGGAGTAAAATATAAATAAGGGTAAACTAGTAAAATTTTATTCAAATTAATTTTTCTTAAGGAATATGTACAAAAGAATTATGATAAATAATATGAGACTGAGGGGGTATTTTCTTTTCAATGCAGCATTTTATGGAACAAAAAGTTTAAAGAAAATAAATTTTTGGCACATATTACAAATGTTTTCCAAAATTTAACCATGGGTATCATAACATTTAGGTACTACTAATTATGCCATTGTAAGTAAATTAAAAATAATTTTAAACAATGTTATTATTTTTTAAATAGACTACCAAACATGTGATCTAAAATGGATTACAGACAAATAAATATATTATTATTTTATTTAAATAAGTTCTTGAAGTTATAAAATTATGCCTAAATAAATATAGGAAATTTTAGAAATATTAACTTTTAAGAATGTGCATTAGTCAAGTTGAATTGGTTATCAATCATTTGTTACAAAATAAAATTTACTGTTAATTTAAAAATATTTATACAAGCACTATATAACTTAATTCACTTTATGCACAAGATTGATATTGCAAGATGATCTTTTAATTTTATTTGCAAAAAATTACTTTAATTGATACCTTCGAGAAGAGTTCTTATCATGTAACATAAAAATTTATATTTCTACGATAGAAAAAAATGTGTAGTAAAAGTTACCTTAACATTATCAAATTTCCCGGTTTCAATGCCTTCTATAGTGGGATTTATATTTTCCATGCAAACTGTAAATTGAAATACTATTAGTCTCTCCATACATTAAATTTTTATCAATTTTCCTTGTATCTTTCTAGACCTTGATTTTCTCAAATCTCTCCATAAATAAACAAAAGAATCTCCACACCCATTACCAGTCCCCACAATATTTGGATTTTTCTATAACTTAATAAATGGAAGTCACTCGGGTCAGCTGATTTATAGGCAAAAAGATATCGTATTCCTTTTCTTCTTGAAATAGTGAAAACTGCGGGGATGGCGTGATTACGTGGCTGAGATTATTAGCGGCAATAACTGACATTTTGGGTCTATGCCACGTTGATCTTCACTGTATCAGATGCCCACGCCACCGTTAGACCACATTATTGTTCATATCTTTTTGCCTTTTTTATCCTTTTTGTTTTTGTTTTTTCCCCCTTTTATTATTATATTTATATGAATAAAAATATTGATGATTTCGAGAGGACTCGTTGGGAACGTGAGGGGAGGTTTTCTTTAATTAAAATTTTTGTTCGTATTTCCTTTTCTGTACTATAAGGTGCGACCAACACTGTCGCACGTGTGAGGTGGAAACTGCGTTGCCACGTTCACAGGGGACCCACTAAGTGGGGCCCAGGAAACGTAGTACTATAGCGTGGGACCCATTTCAATTTCTGTTTCATGTGCGGGTTTCACTGTTTTGCTACCTTGTCCCTAGTCCTAACTGGGTGTTGTCTGTGTACGGACCACCTATTCTACGAGAAAGAGGAAAAGATTACCTGCTCTCATAGTGCACCATTCTGCTGGTGTTCGCCTTTTTTTGCTTTTGTACACATATACTCCCTCCGTGTTTCAACGTACGTGAACTCATTTGATTGGGTACGGAGTTTAAAAAAGAGAGAAGACGTTTAAACTTGTGGTGTGAAATCAAACACATAAATTTTGTGTGGCAATAAATCATTGCATAAAGGTAAATTGTTTCCAAATAAAGAAAGGGGTCATTCTTTTTGACACGGACTAAAAAGAAAATAGGTTCACATAAATTGAAACGGAGGGAGTATATATCTTGGATTTACGATAAATGCGTTGCGTGTATGTCCAATCTCAATTAGTATAAAATTATTATGTTAAAATTTTATTTAAATTACAAAATAACAACAACAACAACAACAAACCCATTTGAATTACAAAATAAATTTAAGAAAAAAGAATAATTAAGTTCATGAAATGAAGATTTTTTTATTTTATTTAGCTATGCAATAAAAGAAGAAACTCCATTCTATAAAAGTAGATTAGTCAATATTTCCGTCAATATGTAGCTTAAATCTGATCCCAACTTAAATAAAAATCAATTACAGATACACACAAAAACTAAGACACGTCTGTTTGAGTTGATTGAAAGAATGAATTCTAATTACTACTATAATTTAACAGGGATTCCATAATTTTACTTCTTCTATGATAATATTAACAGTCTTTTCAGAATTCATCTATTGCATGTATCTTACACTTTTTTCACTTTTAATTTTAAATATAATATTTATGTAATTTTTTAGAAAATTCTACTCATTAAGTCGGGTTATACAATTTTGATTTTATAGTATATTATATTGGTCGAAAATATACTTAATTGTTATCGAAGAGTTATTTTAAATTTATTTCAGTACAATATCTTAGTATTAAAATTTAGATTCCGAAAATTTTCAGCAAGTTTTTCGTATAATTCAATTATTTGCAATGACTACTAAAAACATGCATCCGAATTCGAGATGCTGTGGACTTACATTACTTAGGGCACGAGTAAATTTTACCAAAATCTCTTCGTACTCTTTAAACTTCTCATCCTCAGACACTTCAGAAAAGTATTAGCACATGTTAGAATTATAACATAAGAAGTGTTATAAAACAATAAAAGAACAAGAACAATATTGCAGAGAAAGAGAGAGGAAATTCTTATTGAATTTTGGGATGAATTACAATGGAATAGAACCCTCTATTTATAGGGAGAGGGTGACTTAGCCACCAAGTAATAAACCCTAGAATATTGTGAATTATAGACATTCACAATAAATAAAATTCTATTTATAACACTCCCCCTTGAATGTCTATTCAACAGATAATGTGCCTCGTTAAAACCTTTACTAAAATAAAACTCAATGGGAAAAAAAAATCTAAAGAAGGAAAAAGAGTACACATATCTAATAATACGCCTTTTTGTTGCCTCGTTAAAAACCTTGCAAGGAAAACCCAGTGGGACAAAACCTTGTAAGGGAAAAAGAGTACAACGCGTATTAACTCCCCCTCATGAGAGCATCACTTCACATCCTTAAGCATTTGCATTCCAATCTTTTGCACCATCTTCAAAAGATCTTTGGTAGATATTTGATAAACAAATCAGCCATGTTAACTTGAATGAATATATTGCACCTTGAAATCATCATTCTTGATAGAGATGGATTGTCTTCATATGATCTTGTTGGAATCGTCAGTTCAATATCTCCACATAGAGGTGAAAGCTCTTGCTATCATATTATCATGCATATAGTTATAGCAAGATACATTTGTGCACAAATTGCACTGATGAAGTGGTACTTCAAGATCAAGAATTGTATATGCTTCAAGCAACTTAAATCCTTCATGGATTGTCACATAAGTTAAGTCATATAAGCCATATAATAGACTTTAGATGCATATCAAGTTTTCATGTCATGCTAGACATATAAGATATCGAAAACTGATTGCACATACCATTGACTTTATACTTTCAAGTATTTGAACAACATAGACAAAATTGTATGTTTTTCATATGAAACCAATTCTATTCGAATTGTGTCTCTTCCATTTGGCCTAATTATATTCGTAATCTATACTTAGCGCTATGATAGATGTCATCGACAAATATTTTATATCTGTTCCAACCTCCTTATTTTTCATAAAGACATAACATAGAGATCTCTTCATTCACATATTCAGATACCTGAATCTCTCAGGAGATTTTATGAAGTGTTATGTCATGTGATCTTCTAGATCATTTGCTTCCTTTATTATGATCATTTTGATCATTTGCTCATCTTCTTTATCAAGAAGTTTATTTGAAACCGATAGTCTATACGCTTTAAGCGTACCATAGACTTTATCCTTCTAGGACTTAATAGGAGCATTTGCAATGAGAATATAGTTACTTTCTTTGGGTCAGCAAATGCGTCTGGCATGCTTTGCAATATATTGTAAATGAATTATCCTTTTATGAACTTCAAGTTCATATTATCTTATTCGAGGATAATTCATTCCACGTAACTTTTTCTCAAATGTTGTATCTTGTCTCCCCCTCATGTTAGAAAAACTAACTTGTTTCCTAAACTTTGAGAACCCATCTTTGTGCGTTATGGTGTTAATCAAAATATACACCGCACATCAATAATAATAACATGGAATTATTTGGTTCCTGACCCTGAACCACTTGTGAGGGGAGACAATAAATATACTTTCGTATATAACCTATATCAAACTGATATAGATAACTTTGTTCTCTTAAGCAATAGTTTAGCTATTAAGTGGAGGCACTCAATAAATCATTTTGCTAAACGAACTGTGATGTAAACCAACTTATCAAGATGAACTTCTTGAATAAAAAATCTGGAAATTATGCTCGAAATTAAATTATTGAGCAAGTTACTCGCAAAACACCATGTTGCGGGTTAATAATAATTGCACATGTAACCATCTCATAGATGCATCTTATGTGGTATACATGGCAGGTGAATGAGCCCATATTCACCTTTGAAATTTCCAGCATTCATGGGATTCAATCCCAATTTTAGTTGGTCTATTAATTAATGAGAACAAGCAACATAAGAGAATTCGTAAAGAACTTTCTAGTTCTTTAATATTTACCCATGTGAATTCTCCTTTATTTTTGCACATCATACTTAAATTGATATGGCTAAACCAATTATGCCAACTGAATAAATTATCAATATTGATAAACTTCAG